GTCTTCCTGGACTTTATTTCCTGCAGGGCGATTACGTGGTAGTTGATGCGCCCTGCAGCTTCGAGAAGGGGGTGATGATCGGCGTTGGTGGAGACTGTCCTGGCGTTGTAGGTGCAGAGCACAATCTCCATGCCAAGTCGTTGACGTATCCTTGGCGTATCCATGGTGTCCTGTGCCACCTGACACTGGTCTTGATGTCATCCGACGCCGTAGATATGATCTGCTAAGGAAAAGGTCTCCCTACACATTAGCAGTGCCTTGCCAGGGCCCTGCCAAGCCTTCACCACAGGCAACCGCTGACCTTGCATGGATCAGGGAGCCACCTAGCGACTCAATCAGCCAGACGGTGGTGCTTCTGACATGGCCTATCAGCTGAGCATGCGGGGAACTGGAAACGTCAAACTCTTTTTCAGATTGGGAGACCCTGCTGGAGCATAAACCTCAGTGCTTCGCAGTTCGACACCCAGAGTTACCCCTCCCCCGCCACGGCGAGGCGGTAGAGTATCACGGGGGAAAAATAAAAACAGTATAAAAATTTCGTTAAAGAGCAAACACAGTTCATTTTATGCAGATACTACACTTTCTCAAACGTAAGATATTTTCCATGTTGAATTTCTCTCAACAAATAATTATTCTCATTGTTCGTTTAGGGACTGTAGACGTAATGGTTGATTTTGGATGATAAATGACGCTATTAAGTTTTACAGTTACTGTAGAGAAGTTAGGACTACATCCAGCATCTAGCCTACTTACAATACGACTCTTCCAAGATTCTTTTGCTGAAGGGGTGCCTCCTAAAACTTGATTGAATATTTTAAAGATTCCCGCATTTGTTTTTTGAGCATGACCAACAATTTCTTATAACTTTTTCTAACTGGTGTTGATTTTTAACAAAGAGCTGTTGGTGGGCGTAGGACAGACCTCGGCAGCAGGTCTCCGGAAGGCAAGCTGGAATTCGTCTTTGTGGAAAAAGTAAAGGGGAAATCGTACTTGGTCCGGAGAAGAGAGGAGTTCATTCTCAATTAAGACCGCTTTTTCCACAACAAGAATGATGAAGCTACCTCCTTCCTCCCTCCTTGTACCGCAGATGTTCATGCATGCGGCCTAACTATTTGTCTTATTCAATACTCATTTCTACACTTAAAGACCGTTCAAAAGCCTGCCCCAGCAAAGTTCCACTATTCGTTTCAAAGCGGGCGTTTGTGCGGGAAATTTGAAAGAGTTGAAAATTTGAATAAACCCGTTTTTCTAAGCGAATAAGCGATGAACAGCCACCAAAATTGGCATGAAGATGCACAACAAAAAGTGGAAGAAG